ATATTAAAACCATAAGATATTAATGGCAATACACTATGAAAGATACGAACAACGTGAAAGGGGAATCCCCTTCAAAACACAGTACTGATAAAATAAAAAAGATAATATTCATTTCCCATCAAATAAAAATGGTGAAACCTGATTTTAAGCGATGAATTGACACTCGGGCAAAGGGAGCAAGGACTTCGGGCTGTTTTTTTCGAATCTGGGCAATTAATTACAACAAAAGTAAACTTGATTAGGACTTGAAAAAATCAAAGAAAAATTGGGACACATGATACACATAAAGAAATAAATTGAACGCGAAATCAAAATACAAGCATCGGAAAAAGGAGACAAACAACAAACGGTGCGGCAACAGATCGATGGCACATAGAGATTTTTTTTTTTGGTCGAATGTCAGAGGGAGATGCCGCTGGCTTAAGAGTAGGGCTTTATGGAAGATATTTTATCCTAATTTATTATCCCAAAAATATCACTTGTGAACTATAGCGTTTCTTTTTCCATTTATATTATTTATTTAATATATATAAAGCAATTATAGCATTAGCTACGAAAACGCTATAACATAATGCTATTAAAAGCCACTTTTCTTGTAGTGCGGCCTTTCCCTTTTGAGACTAGCACTTAGTGTATGTGTACTGCGTCTCATCAGTCCTCGGTGTTGTGACATCGGCATACTTGAGTGGGTGCTCGTACTGGATGAGTTCACTGAACTCCCTCGCCCTAGAAATCTATAAGTGGTTCTCATTCATCGAGTAATAGGTTTCTAAGATATAGTTGTACACCATTAGTCCTTAAGACCCAGACATCACCGTGACTTCACTAGAGGACCGATTGTAGCGTGACCTGTCCCTGAGTCCCACCGCGGACCACTCCAAGGGCCAACGTTCGTGCAATCCGAAATCTAGTGTGAAGTCTGTGCATTGTAGTAGGGGATTCGAGCGCTTGAGTAGTCATGGATGTCATGTGTGTTATGACGGTTTATAATCCATGGAATCTCTGGCCAGAGTTGGTAGTGGGGTGATTAGGGAAATGTGTTTCCCTAAGTCGCACACGAACGGATTTATAATACCTAGAACGTTCGCACGGTTATTGAACTTTATAAGAGGTCTCGGTGAACCAATGCCTCTAGTTCAATTACGAAAGGATCGTACTGTACGCTAACTATATCATAAGGTTCTTGCAGGCACTTCATTTGTATCTAGGGAATCATGATGCGTAGTTGCTAGACACCAATCTTGATTCGTTGGGCACCGATTTGATCGGGATTAGGTAAAATGAGTTTTACTCTAATCGGGACTCTTGGGAGGAGTTCGTATAAGAACAATGTGTTGTTCGAATCACAAAGAGTTGTGAGCCCACGGCTAGCATACACCTGAACCATTGAGGGTCACACTTCTCGTGTAATATAGATCCTTGATAACAACAAGCATAGATTAATGTGTTAATCTTTGAACGATTGGATGTCGATATGATTGAATCCAAGATTCGTAATTGTGGATTGCGAATCGGAATAAACGTAGAGAAAGAGAGAAATGCGGAATTTAGTGAACTTTCTAAATTGGGAAGTTTCCCGATTTAGCAAGTCCACTGAAGTGGAAGTTTCCAATTTTGGAAATTGGAAATTTCGAAGAGGCACTCGTATCGACGAGGGCTTTGAGCTCGTCACAAATATAATTTTGTTATAATTTTGTGAACGATCGTTTATTAGAAACGAGGCCGACGAGGGAATGGGTTTAATGCATCAGTGGGTCAAGCCCAATGACTTAAGCCCGCTAGGGTTGAAAACCCTAGGTATAAATAGACCTCAAACAAGAGTTTGAGATCAGATTTTTCAGCACCAAACCCTAGCCGCTCAAGCCCTAGCCGCTCCCCTCTTCGGCCGTTGCTCCACCGGCGCGCCACCGCCGACCACCGCCGGAAAACCGCCGGTTTTTCTTCTCTCGTTTCCTTCGTTTTATTCTTGTTGTTGTCTAACTCGTTTACATCTAGTGCTGTAGTTCGAGTGGGTCGAAAATACGAGGTGAAACCTAATTGGAGAGGAGTTGCTGCCCCGACGAATCCACGCACCGCCGCACGCGCCGATACGCCGCTCACGCGCCGCCGCTTCCGCTGCCACGCGCCGCCGCTGCTGCTGCCGTTCACTGCCGTTCGTCGCTTGCTGGATCAGCTTGGTCCAGCCGTGAGTTGCAGCCCCGTGGATTGGTAATTTGCAGCTTGTACGTGACTCGTTCTAGGATTTCGATTCGTCGAAATCGCACGCTACAAGAGGTAATTAAATCGGAACTTTCGTAATTCGATTCGAACATGTTTGTATGATTATTAATTTGCGAGCATGAGTAATACGTGATTACATGTTTCGATTTTGTGAAATGAAGTATAAGCATGTTTCGTAATTTTCGGTTTTACGCGTTTTTCAATTAAATCGATAATTACCATATGTATGGCGGAAGCGTTAAGGTACGTTGACTATGTGATTAGTTTATGCATGTAATCGAAACTAGTTCGATCTAAAATTTTTAAATTCCGCTGCGTATACATGCACGATCCCCAACAGTGCTATGGTAGAGTAAGCTGTAATTCAATTGACATAGCGATGAAGGTAGCCATAGAAAAGGGTTATGTTGAATTAACGTGGTCGGCTAGATTAACTAGGGACTGCATTAGTTTGGCATAATCAAGTTCTATGAGCATCTTTGATTGGTAGGTTAGACTTGACAAACGACGATTTTGATATTCGCGAGATTAACTTAGGTCATTATCAAGTGTGAGGAAAATTAATTTAGGGTCATATTGTGGATATGATTGATTGTGATCTACCTTTGGGCAAATATAATCGGGCTAGATTAACTACGGGTTATATTTGTCTATCGGACCTAAAGCCCATTAAGAAAAATCAGTTTTCTCGTTTGTCTACTAGAGGGAAGTGGAACTCGATAAAATTAGTGGGAGAACAATTAAATAACATAAGTCCAAACATTTAATTGTAACAATCATTTAACGCGAATCTCTAATAATCCTCTTCTCTATATTTCTCAGATAATCATGTCTAAGAATCCCATTATGTCAATCCTCGACGATAAACTCAATGGCCCTAATTACCTAGATTGGTTGCGTAGTCTTAAGCTTGTACTAACTGTTGAGGGGCGTCTCTATGTTTTGAACGAGAGACTTCCCGCCACTATACCTGCCACAGCGACTGATGCTGAGAAGGAAACTTATGAAGTTTGGAAGAAAGATGACACTCATGCTAGGTGCTATATGATAGCCGCCATGGAGCCCGCGCTTGCGAGGAAATATGAGTCTCACATGCATGCTTTCGACATAAAGGCCCATCTCGATAGCATGTATATTGAGAATATTAGGGCATCGAGGTACGCTGCTACAAAGGTGTTGATCACGGCAAGACTGCGCGAAGGGACTTTGGTCCACGAGCACTGTCTCAAAATGATCACTCTCCTTGAAAAGCTAGTGAATCTTGATGTCACCCTCCCAGCCGAGCTCTCGTTGGATTTGATCTTGTTATCTCTCCCTAGTTCCTATGAATCGTTCATAGTGAACTTCAACATGAACAAACTAGATCCTCCCTTGGATGAGTTAATGAACATGTTGGTCAGCTTCGAGTCCACCATTAACAAAGAGAAGTCTGTTCTCATTGCTGCTACTTCTGGAAAGAAGAGTTCTTTCCAAAAGAAGAGAAAGGAAAGAGTTCCCTTCCCAAACAGCAAGTTCGAAGTGTGTGAAGGTAGTGGGGGCCCCAAAGCAAAGGTGGGCAAGCAAGTTGATGATGCTTGCCATCATTGTGGAAAGAAAGGACATTGGCGCCGCAACTGCAAGGCTTACCTGAAGTAGAAAGGTTCTGAAAAGGGTACGTATTTCATTGACGTAAATTTGTCTGTCAACTCTTCTTCTTGGGTATTGGATACGGGCTGTGGCTCACATTTGTGCAATGATTTGCAGCTAATGACAAGAAGTCGAAGACTTAGAGCGGGTGAGACCTTCCTAAGGATGGGGAATGGAGCAAGAGTTGCTGCTAAAGCCATTGGCACAATTTACTTAAATGTTTTGGATTCTAGTTTTCCTATTGTTTTGAACGATTGTTTATTTGTTCCGTCCCTCATTAGAATCCTTATTTCTATTCCTGTATTAGATATTGAAGGTTTTACTTTTGTTTTTGGAAATTCGATTTGCATTATACAAAAGAATGAGAATTTGATTTGCAAAGGACGACTATTAAACAACTTGTATGAACTAAATCCAAATGAAATACCTATTAATGTTATATCAGCAAAACGTAAGGAGATAGATCAAAACCCCGCACAACTTTGGCACGCTAGATTAGGTCATGTCTCTTTAAGAAGGATGAACGATTTTGTCAGTTAAGGATTGTTCTCTCACTAGGCCAAAATGGTCGACTGGCGACGAATTTTGGCGACGAAAATGTCTATTTGGCGACGATTTTTTACTGTTTGCGACGAATTATTTTCATCGCCAAATCATACCAAAAACGTCGCCAAACGTCCCGTCGCAAGGTCGGCGACGAAAAGTCATTTTCGACGCAACGTTTGGCGACGAATTTCATAAATCGTCACAACATTCGTATTTTCTGGAAAAAAATGTTTTTTTAATATTCGCGACGGATCCTATACTTTCGTCGCTGCCCAGTTGCGACGAATAAAGAATAAGTCGCAAACATTGGCGACGAATTATATTTTCGTCGCTATATTCAGCGACGTTTTTGACGGTTTCGTCGCTACGTTTGTGAAAAATGTTTGCGACTAATAGCCTTTTTCGTCGCAAGGCCACGATTTATTTGCGACGATTTGTTTTATTTATTCGTCGCTAGGTTTTTTTTTTTTAATATAATTTCTGGTTTATTTATTTTTTCAATTAACAAATTCAACCTGTATTCAGCAGTTGTACAAAAAAAAATACACTTATATCGAAAATATTAAAACCAATTATACGGATTAAATAAACTTATATAAAAAAAAAATACACTTATATAAAAAAAAAATACACTTATATAAAAAAAAATACACTTATATCGAAAATATTAAAACCGATTCTTTGTGGTGGTTGCAATCTTAATTCCAAGCCCTTTGCTTTTTCCGAGCACTTTTTCTATCGCAATTGAGTTGGCCGTGCTTTCGTCACTTCCATCACGAATTGTCTCATCGTACACTCGTTCCAAATCAGCCTGAAAATGATTAAGTACACTTGTTTAGCAAAAATTTCGACAGCATAACAACTAATAAATGAACATCCCCAAAAAAACCATCCATGTATGCAACAACATTATTTAAAACAAATATTCATGAGAAATAAGCAACTATTCAACTGTTGTCCAGACACGAATTTAGCGATGACGAATTATTAGATAAACGAACATAGTTGTTTCTTGGAAAAAATGGCGTGCCTAGACAGTATGGAACTTGAAATAAAGAAAATGAATGTATATACTATTTGTATCACTTGCATCTTGTTGTCTATTATTTGATAAACACAGCACAAACACGAACACGACACTTCGAATGAAAGAAATGATTGGAATTTATTTAACTAAGAAAAAATATTTTGATATGATGAAATCAACAATTTCAAGAAAATACCTTGGTTGTGATACTTAGGCCGGTAAGTAGAAGCCAAGCTTTCCCAATCAACAACCTGCTTTCCCTTATAATCGTTCGACACTCCAACTTGGGGTACATTTGCAGGTGCAAAAGGGCCAAACAGGTAACTCTTTGCACCCATTGTAGTTGTTCTATCATCCTCGTTTTCGTTCTCGTTTTTTACTCGCATTAGGTTAACTGGCTTCAAGATTTGAAGCCCATCTTCATCAACCTTAAACCTCTTTGCTGTATTAGTTAAATCAGTCCCAAAAATCCTCTTCTTCGAGTCTACAATTCCATTATCGGGTTTTCCATTCAGCCCTAACCATCTAAAAGCAGGTTTTCTTGTCTCAGGGTGATGAATCTGTATATCGTACAGAATAAGTGTTCAAATTATAAATCCACATAACGAGTTTCATAAAATTAATGTCGAATTAGGATATACGATGAATCACCTTCTCGATGAATTTCATGGAAGATAACACATTGGCAATATCGTACAGTCTTCTGACTTTTGCTGGAGAGTTGAATGAAACTAATGTTAATAAATTTATTATTGTATCTTTCATTTAAGCAATAAAGCAAGATAAATAAATAAGGTAAAGGTATCTTACTTCTAGTAGTCATTGAAGTGTGCTTTCCGTCACCGAGCAAAAGCTTTGCTGCATCTTCGAGAGAAATCAAATCCATCTGAATTTGAAGACAATTTATATTCATAAGATGCAAACCAAACAAATATCAATATTAATGTTCGACATGAAATATACTTACATCGGTGCAGAGAAACAGCTTAACAAAATTATGTGTAAGAAACCCAAGAGACTTTTCCTTCCTATTCTCACCTATATACGAAAATGAAAATTCTAAGGAAAGAGTTAAAGGAAAGAAATACAAAAACATGGTAATAACATGAATCATCAATCTACCACACTTCACACACACACACACACACACACACACACACACACTCCAGACCCAACCACAAGAAAAATAACATTTTCTTTTTCTTCTTAGCCAATCTAATCAACAGATCTAATCAACAGAGAATCCCCATAAACATAGCACAACCAGAAACACGTGTCGTATACAATAATACATACATTGCTGGAGAAAATCATGTAAAACGCAGAAACACCCAAAAAAAATTAAAATTAAAAAAGGGGGGTTTTGCAATTAACCATAATTTCACGAATCGCGGTGGGGGGAAACGCCGTCGCCATCTTTGGACTGCTTGAATTTCTTAATCGCAATGGATTTGGAGCAGTTCGCCTTAATCTTCGCCAAGAAAACCAAACCGTATGTTCCCTCTCCGATTTTCCCAATCACATCGTATTGCTCGAGCTACTCCGGCTTACTGCTCGAATTGCCCGCCCTCCCATCCCCCATATATGCTCCACCTGCTTTGAATCAATTTCTTCAATAATTAATAAAAAAAAAATCTATTTTTCTTTCTTCAATCCATCACCATATTTGCAGAAATTCAATAAAAAGAAAGGCAATTGTATTATACGATGAACAAGACTAGTACCAGATTTGGATGCCATAGCAGATTTAAGAACCGAACTAGTATCCGATTTATCATTTTGGCTTAAGCAGTTAATATCCGAGGACATCGAATCTTCTTCATCATCCGAGAGCAGCGACGGACGGCGGACGACGGAGAGCAGCGGCAGCGGCAGACTGCGTCGGCGGAGGCGTAGGGGGAGGACCCGGCGGAGGGGAAGATTGAAAGACAGAGAGAAACGAGAAGAAAATCAGATTAGGGCCTGACTTATAATTCAATTTTTTGCGACGATTCCTAACAAATTGTCGCCAATTCAGATTTAAATGAATCTCGTAGCGACGTTTTAATAACTTTCGTCGCAACCAAAAAAAAAATTAAATAGATTTGCGACGTTTCTGTAAGAAACGTCGCTATAGAAATGCGAGATTTTTTCTATAATTATTTTGGCGACGATTCATACACTATCGTCGCAAATAATAATTATAATTCTTTTAACAAAGTATTTTACTTGCGACGAATACACTATTTTCGTCGCTACGAATAAATATAATTTCATATTTCCTCTTTATTACGCTACGTTTATCCTTATTCGTCGCCAACCCAATAATTTGTTTTTTTTCACAATTGCACTAGCGACGTATACGTCATATTCGTCGCGAAGGTTATATAAAAACGTCGCTACGAGAGTGTATTATTATTTTTTTTCCCCTTTGCGACGTTTTATTGATATTAGTCGCATACTGGCGACGATTATTTTTATCGTCGCGAGATATTCCATCGAAATCTTATTTTCCGATATCTTGCGACGTTTTTTAGTCAAAATGGTCGCAAACTAGCGACGATTCCGGAATCGTCGCCAAAAACGTCGCTACGAGAGTGTATTATTATTTTTTTTCCCCTTTGCGACGTTTTATTGATATTAGTCGCATACTGGCGACGATTATTTTTATCGTCGCGAGATATTCCATCGAAATCTTATTTTCCGATATCTTGCGACGTTTTTTAGTCAAAATGGTCGCAAACTAGCGACGATTCCGGAATCGTCGCCAAAAAACACGTCGCAAGTGAGCTGTTTTGGCCTAGTGTCTTTGGAGGACGTGAAATCACTACAAACTTGTGAATCTTGCCTTAAAGGGAAAATGACCAAATCACCCTACAAAGGGAAAATGGAACGAGCCGAGGGTCTTTTGGATTTGATCCATACAGACGTATGTGGTCCACTAAGTGTTAGTGCGAAGGGTGGATATAACTACTTCGCTACCTTTACCGACTATTATTCTAGGTATGGGTGTGTGTACTTGATAAAGTACAAGTCCGAAACATTTGAAAGGTTCAAAGATTTTAGACACGAAGTGGAAAAGCAACTCGGACGAAGTATTAAGAAGCTGCGATCCGATCGTGGTGGAGAATACTTGAGCATCGAGTTCATTGACTATCTAAAAGAGAATGGGATACAATCCCAATGGACTCCACCGGGAACTCCTCAACTTAATGGAGTCTCCGAACGTCGGAATCGGACTTTATTAGATATGGTTCGATCAATGATGGGGTTCACGAACTTACCGGCATACTTGTGGGGTCATGCACTTCGTACTGCCGCGTATTTGCTGAATAGAGTTAACACCAAAGCAGTTAAATCCACACCTTATGAACTTTGGCATTCCTGGAAACCCAACTACAAACATATTAGGATATGGGGTTGTCCCGCTTATGTGAAGCGGTTATTGGGAGATAAGTTGGATAGTAAATCCGACTTGTGCTATTTTGTGGGGTATCCCGAAGACTCAATGGGATACGAGTTCTATTATGTCAAATAAGCAAAGACGTTTGTTTCAAGAAATGCCACCTTTTTGGAAAGGGAGTTTCTATCCGATAGAAAGGGCAGCATGATAGAACTTGAAGTAGTTCAAGAACCACAAAGTGAAGTTCAAACGCAAGAACAAGCAATCGAACCAATACAACAAACCACTAATATACCTCCTGAACCTACGGTACGTAGATCCGAAAGAGTTCGGAAAATGCCAGATAGGTTATTCCTCCTCGAAAATGATGAAGATCATGTTGATCTTGGACAAGATCCAAGAACATACAATGAGGCCGTATCGGATGCGGACATGGGACATTGGCTAACTGCCATGAAATCCGAAATGGACTCCATGTACTCCAACAAGGTGTGGACCTTGGTAGATCCACCTAAGGGAATTGTTCCTATAGGCTGCAAGTGGATCTATAAGAAGAAAATTGGAGTGGATGGAAAGGTATCGACCTATAAAGCTAGATTGGTAGCGAAAGGTTACACTCAAAGGCAAGGCGTTGACTATGAGGAAACTTTTTCACCAGTCGCGATGCTGAAGTCCATTAGGATTTTGCTGGCCATAGCTGCGTGGTACGACTACGAGATATGGCAAATGGATGTGAAGACCGCCTTCCTTAATGGAGATATTGAGGAAGAAATTTACATGGCGCAGCCGGAAGGCTTCATATCTTCTGGAAGTGGGCAAAAGGTTTGCAAGCTCCAGCGATCCATTTATGGATTGAAACAAGCATCCCGAAGTTGGAACATTAGGTTCGACTCAACTATCAAAGAGTTTGATTTTGAGAAGAATCCGGAGGAACCTTGTGTATACAAGAAGGTTAGTGGGAGGGCAGTGATATTTTTAGTGATTTACGTTGATGACATTCTACTCATTGGGAATGACGTAGGAGTGTTACAACAAACGAAAGCATGGTTGTCCACACGTTTCTCAATGAAGGATTTGGGAGAAGCATCTTATGTATTAGGAATACGCATCTATAGAGATAGAGCGAGAAAGATGCTTGGCTTATCCCAAAGCCCGTACATAGACCCCGTTATGAAACGGTTTAGCATGGAAGAATCCAAGAAGGGATTCTTGCCAATGTCCCATGGGGTTCGTCTCTCGAAATCTATGTGCCCGCAAACACCTAGTGAAATCGAGGAGATGAAAAGGACGCCCTATGCTTCTGCCATAGGAAGCATAATGTATGGCATGCTATGTACGAGACCCGATATTGCGTATGCTGTGAGTGTCACAAGCAGATATCAGTCTAACCCTGGCCCGGCTCACTGGAAAGCCGTGAAAGATATCCTCAAGTACTTGCGAAGGACTAAGGATATATTTTTGGTCTATGGGGGTGCCGAGTTGAAATTAGAGGGTTTTACCGACTCTAGTTTTCAATCGGACGTGGAGGACTCAAAGTCGAATTCTGGATTTATATTCACGCTGAATGGTGGTGCCGTGTGTTGGAAGAGTTCCAAGCAAAACACGACGGCCGATTCCACTACCGAAGCGGAATACATTGCAGCATCCGAAGCTGCAAAGGAAGGGACTTGGATAAGGAAATTCATCCAAGAGTTGGGTGTCATTCCTGATGCTAGTGATCCAGTACCGTTGTACTGTGATAACACCGGAGCCGTGGCGCAAGCTAAGGAGCCGCGATCTCATCAGAAGTCGAAGCATATTCTGAGGAAGTATCACGTGATCCGAGAGATCATTGATAGAGGTGAAGTTAAGGTAGAACGAGTCACCTCGGAAGAGAACGTTGCAGACCCCTTCACGAAGCCTTTACCGAGATCGGTCCATGAGAAACATCGAGAGTCGATGGGATTGCCATTTATGGGTAGTTGGCTTTAGGTCAAGTGGGAGATTGTTAGAGTAGGTGACCAACAAGCCAACATGTGGCTGTGGTCTTTCGTATTTATTATTGTAATAAACGAACCTTTATTCGTATTAATGATAAAACACCTTGGCATTCTATATCTTTGTCCCTTTGTCACAAGCATAGACATAGTCCTTACAGTTATTACAAGTACTAGTAATTGATCGTTAGGATCGTGAGATATTTACTTAAGTATTATAACTGTTAAACGTGTTCCTAGTCGAAGGGTTACGCCACCAATGAGGATATCGGCCTTTCCCATTAGAAGACTAGCACTTAGTGTATGTGTACTGCATCTCATCAGTAAACGGTATTGTGATATCGGCATGCATAAGTGGGTGCTCGTAAGTTGACGAGTTCACTGAACTCCCTCACCCTAGAAATCTCTAAGTGGTTCCCAATAATCGAGTAGAGATATCTATGGTATAGTTGTACACCATTAGTCCTTATGACCTAGACATCACCGTAACTTCACTAGAGGACCAGCTGTATCGTGACCTGTCCCTGAGTTCCACCGAGGACCATCCCAAGGGCCAGTGTTCGTGCAGTCCGAAATCTAGTGGGAGGTCTGTGCATTGTAGTCGGGGATTCGATCGCTAGAATAGTCTTGGATGTCCTGTGTGTTCTGAAAGTTTGTAATCATTCTAAGTCTCTGGCCAGAGCTGGCTAAGTGATGATTAGAGATTTCGATTCTCTAAGTCATGCACGTGACGATTACAACACTTGGAACGATCGCACCATCATCAAACATATAAAGAGGTCTCGATGAACCAATGCCTCTAGTTCGATCGGGACATATGTATCGAAGGGACCGTACTGTACGTTAACTATATCTGAAGGTTCTTGCAGGCACTTCATTTGTATCTAGGGAATCATGACGCGTAGTTGCTAGACGCCAATCTTGATTCGTTGGGTGATTAAGGTGAAATGAGCTTCATCTTAATCGTAACTCTAAGGGACGAGTTTTGACCACAAAGGGTTGTGGGCCCACGGCTAGCTTACACCTGAACCATCGAGGGTCACACTGCTCGTGCACATGAGATCTTTGAATAAACGGTCAGAGATAAAATAGTTTATCTTTGCATGATTGGAAGTCAATATGATTCGATCCAACATTCGTAATTTGGAATTATGAATGAGACTAAGAAAAGGAAACGAATAGGCGAACGTATTAGTGAACTTTCTAAATCGGGAAGTTCCCAAATTTAGAAAGTGCACTGAACTAGGGTTTCCACTTTTGGAAAGTTGGAAATTGAGAGTTGGCACTCGTAATGACGAGGATATTATAATGATTCCGAAATTGTAATCGTTGCAATTTTCCGATCATTGAATTGAGAGAGCCGAGCAAGTAAAGGAACTAACGAGCTTAAGCTGTTGGGCCCGGTCCAACTTAAGCCCGTTAGGGTTTTATGCGAGGGACTATAAATACTTGATTTATAGGCCTTGCAAACACACACAAGACCTAATCAAAACCCTAGCCGCTCACCTCTCTCTCTCTCGGCCTCTCTCCCGTGGCCATCACCGGCGCCGTCGCCGGAACCTCGCCGGAATCGGCCGTTCATTGGTCGATTGCTTTGGTAGTTTCTTTCCTTCTCTTTTTCTTCCGTTTTTCTAACTATTACGTGTCTAGTGCCACGTGTTTAGTAGATCGAAGTATACGAGGTGAAATCCGAGAGGAGGAAGATCGAAGATCGAAGAACCAAGGAGCAACACACGAGCCGAAGCCGCACGCGATCCCACGCGTCACCCGAAGACCGCGCGTGAGATACACGCGCCGCCGTGGCCGTCTCGCCGTTGTTGTCGCTGCACCGCTGCTGCCCTGGATTGTATGGATTGGTTTCCGTAGCAATCTCGACTTGCTTAGCGCTCCTACCTCACGCTTCAAGAGGTAAACACACGAATCTCATGTGTCGATTCGTTTACGTTTAAACTAAATATTCATGTTTGCTTTCGAATGATTTTATGTGATTATGTGTAATCCTTTTAATCGTTGCGAGCATGTTAGTTGGTTTAAACGCGAGCATGTTAATTGGTTTAAATTCAGTTAAACATTTTAGCATGTATGTTGTTTTTAATTTCGCTGGAAGCGCAAAGGTACGCAATTAATTGATTTAAATTATCGGGCATGTGTTTGTGTGTTTTAAATTTGTTTAATTCGCATAAAATTTTTGTTTTCCGCTGCGTACACGTGCCCGAAACCCAACAGTGGTATCAGAGCTCGTTGCGCAATTAATTGCGTTCGTTTTAATATGCTATGATTTTATGCATGTTCGATGTATTAAAGTAGTGATTGTTGTATTATGTAATTGGGAGTTTTCGTAAGTTTAAAATATTTTTGAAATATTGTTTAGAATTTTTCCAGCTTTAAAATTGTTTAAAATTGGAAAATCGGATCTGAAATTATTTTAAAACTTCGGTTTATTCAATTGTTCGTATCGAATTGGAATAAATTATGGACTTAATGTGAATTCACTATTCGAATTAGTGGCAATTCAATATCGGAAGAAATGGGCATTCATGTTGGAATAAGTAGGGGATTGAATGTTAGAATAAATATGAATTTGAAGCACCATTGTCTAGATGTACCTAGACAATTGTCTTTTGATTTTCATATGTATTAAATTAGAATTAGAAGAGTTGTTAGTCTAAGAGTCATCTTGTAATTTATTAGAATATTAATGTACTCCTCACAATAAATATGGAGTGCTAGAGACGATTGTAAGTAAGACAAAAAAAACAAAAAGAGAAGTAATTTTTCCATCCACAAAACACTAATTTTATTACTTTCTCTACTCAAAAATATTATTTTTTCAAGTCTTCACAAAATCACTAAAATCCAATATCGGGATTAATTATTTTTATCCCATCCTGGTGCCTACAATTATTGATTGAAAGTGAAGGAATAGGTAATGAAAAATGGTTCATACTTCATGTTCAAGCAAGGCAGTGGTCGACAAAAAAATTGTCCATATGCAGTTTATTCCACTGACGGAATTTATTCAAACATTTTAACATAGCTATATACATAATTGTTTGTATTTAATCAACAAACAATCAAACATGTGATTGTTTGTTTTTAGGAATTCAGCATGTGGAAGACGAGGGTTCACTACTATTGTCGTGGATGGTGTTGAGACTACTGCGCTGGCTGCAAAGAGAAGTAAGGAAAAAAAATATGCTCGTGTGAAGCCTCTTATTTGGTGAATATTAAACCGGGTAGTGTCGGAATTTGTTTTTTATGAAATTTAAATAGTAAATGCTATAAAATTTTGAATGTAATTTGTAGAATAACTGGGAACGAGATTATGTACATGTACGGTGCATAAGTGCATAGGTGTAGATAAAAGGAGTAGGGAATGAAATAGTACTGCAGCGTAGGTGCAAGTCCGAATGGAATTTTCGTATTTTGTTAATTTCGCAATCTATATTGTACAACTGCGGTAGTGGAAGAATCAGCTAGAAGTTGGGCATTACCAGTTTAAGGACCAAAATTAAAAATGGTATATAATATAGGAACCAAAACTGTAATTATCACAAGTTTATTATAAATAATATAATAAAAGTTTTCTTAAATCGTAACATTTGATCGATTTGTTGATATTGAACATTTATTTTAACATTTGAATCGACTTAGGTACGAATGAAAAGAATCGTACGATTTGAATCTTAAATCGTAAAATTTTAGGCTCGGCATTGCGAATTTTCGCAAATGAGTCACATGTGATTACAGCCGAGGAGGAGTTGAAGCATGCTGCATTGGTGGCGGATATTTCGGATATTGCAAGAGAGATCCACTTTGGGGTCAAATTTGCAGTTTGCATGGAGCAGCTGGGAAAATGGAGTAAGTATAGGGATGATTCTGCAATTTTCAGAATTGTTTCGGTCAAGGAGGTGGATTTCCAGAAATTACAAATTAACCACCATCTGTGGGGCATTATCGGTTTAAGGACCAAAATCAAAAATGGTATATAATATAGGGACCAAAACTATAATTATCTCAAGTTTATTGTAAATAATATAATAAATTAAAGTTTTCTGAAATCGTAAATCATTAAATTTGATCGATTTGTTGCTATTTAATATTTATTTTAATTTTTGAAATGACTTAGCTATGAATGAATTGACTCGTAAGATTTGAATCCTAAATCATAAAATTTTAAGCTCGGTATTGCGATTTTTTGTAAACGAGTCATCGGATATTGCAAGAGAAATCCAATTTGGGGTCAAATTTGCCATTTGATTAGAGTTGGTTGTGAGTTTGTAGGAAAGTACTTTTATTGCTTCAGTGCTTGGATGTTCGATTCTTGTTGTATCTTTTGTTGGATGATTACAAATGAGGACTCTACCCCTATTTATACTAGGCCACCTCCTTAATGGACGGTGGGGATCTATTTGATCTAACGGCTAGGATTTGTTCACTAGAACACTCCATAATATTTCTACAAAGTATCTACAAGGGAGGGTTCTAGAAAGCTTTCTAGAATCCTCCATGAATCTCTACCTATTCTATAAATTTGAGCCAACTTGCGCCTAACCCTATTTGGGCTAAGTTTTGGGCTTTTTAACCTCCCAACCCAACGGAAACTGGCAAAGGGTTGGGCCAAACATGGTGGGAAGATGGAGTAAGTATATGGATGATTCTGCAATTTTCAAAACTATTTCAGATAAGGAGGTGGATTTCCAGAAATTAAAAATTGACCTCCACTTGGGGGCATTTCCGGTTGAAGGATTAAATCTAAAAATGGTAGGGACAAAAACTGTAATTATCTCAAGTTTACTATAAATAATATATTAAATTAAAGTTTTCTAAAATTGTAAATGGTAAAATTTGATCGATTTGTTGTTATTTAAGATTTATTTTCAGCTTTTCAGGCGGGGAGGTGGATTTCCAGAAATTACAAATTGACGCCCACATCGGCGACATTTCCGGTTGAAGGACCAAAATTAAAAATGATATATAATACAGAGACCAAAATTGTAATTATCCCAAGTTTATTATAAATAATATAATAAATAAAAGTTTTCTTAAATCGTAAATCATAAAATTTTATCGATTTGTTGATATTTAAGATTTATTTTAACATTTGAATCGACATGGGTATGAATGAATTAAATCGTAAGATTTGAATCGTAAATTATAAGATTTTTAGCTAGCTGTTGTGAATTTTCGTAAATGAGTCACACGGGATTACAGCTCAGGAGGAGTCAAAGCATGCAACATAACGATCAAAATCAATATATACAAGGTTTCATTACCCTAGAAGAAAATGTTCTTAGTTCATAACAAAGATAATGTCAAAAGAATGTACACAAGAAATGAAGAACAATACGTAAAGAAATTGCGTAAGAAAAACCCAAGTCGAACCCCTCGTTGAAGATTCCCGCGAAGAACTGTCGAAGACCGAAGAAAGTCGAAGAAGAGGTAGAAGAATGAGGGCTTCTTCTATTTATAGTAAGGCAAAGCTTCTTGAGGAAGCTTTGCCTTTTTAGATATTTATTACACATCCCGAGGCCATATCGTGATATGGGTGATAGTATCGCACGATATGGGAAAAAGACAAGCTCTCTATTTTGTTTCTCCCCATATCGCGATACAGGATGGCATATCGCGCGATATGGCAAAAATGCAAGCTCTCTATTTTGTTTCTCCCCATATCGCGATACAGGATGGCATATCGCGCGATATGGCAAAAATGCAAGCTCTCAGTTTCGTTTCTCCCCATATCGCGATACATGATGGTAATATCACGATATGGTGACTGTTTGAACTTGAAACTCTTTGTTGACCCTTTTTTAACCCGAATTTGACAATTTTTCATTTCACAAAAGTTGTAGACCTTGAAGTTGGTTTTCCAAATCCACTTGAATCAGCTCAATCGGAGGTCGTATGAAGAAGTGATGCGCAAAATACCGAACGCTGCCACCATCCACTTGATTGCAATTTTTTGCTCTTGTTTGACTTCATTCTTGGCTTCGCTTTCAAAATCGTTTTGAATCGGCAAAAATATCTAACAAAACCTAATAATAGAAATAAAACAAGAAACGCAATAATATATACAAATAAAGCCGACACTCGGACGAACGAAGACCAAAACTCGAAGATTTGATAAGCCAAAATCGTGCAAAACGAACACTTATCAATCACATGACCAAAATTCCCAACTTTTATAACTTACAGGACTAAAATTATGATTTTGAAAGATAGTGGACTAAAACTTCCTACTAGCAAATTTATAGGACTAAAAAACTCATTTTTCCTTATGGGAAACTATTGATTATCTTGAGACTATATTTATTGTAATGCAGGAGACAAAATAACCTAGCATTCATTAATGAAGCCATGCAAACGCAGTTTACAATCCAAGCAGATAACATCTCTTCTATCCTAACCATGCAGCCTACCAATAAGGTCTTTATAAAACATAAGAATATCAATTAAATTAATTTGCTTATTCAAAAGCCAATTAATTTCTTGCAGCACTAAATATATGAAGCAGGACAAATATAATGTAGAGGTAACCGCTCGACTAATACAAAGATGCCAGGTTTGATTCTATATAGCGTGCAAGAGATGCCATTGTGAGATCGGGGTTACGCACAATCACAACAACGCATATACAAAGTACAAAAAATGCAGATATAAGGAAGCAAGGTATGTACTGTACACAATTTATTCGTATCGTACATAATATTTTATTCACACATTAATGTCGTATGTTTCACATAGAAAAATTGGTTATCCGAATTTATGACCATAATGGATCTTTGGACGTTACCATGTACAGAGGCGAAGCCAGAATTATCATGAACATTAATTCAAACATGCGCATGCAGAATTACACTCGGGTACAGTAAAATCATCCATGCGTAGAATATAATCATTTATTAATATATGTTTATAAAGTTACATAACCCGACAATCCCAGGGTATGAGCTGCTTATCGATCATATAAATAAACTGCTCCAGAACAAACTCTTTTGCATGCAAATAAAAAGAAATAAATGCAACGTTGATAATACTATATACAACCAATATGTCGTAACAAATCTTCACCGCATGCCATTGATTACCGATCTAGAACCGCATTCTCCTCTTCCTAATCAGTATCATCTATCACAACAATGAGTCCCGCAATGAACATATACGAACCTTCTATACGTCTTTTTGGTAAGCCCTGGAATTCTCAAACCCGACATTACACGCCCCGGTGCCAACATTCTCGCGGCTTCGCCTGTATCCATCGACAACAGCATCAACAAAAAGACGGCGACTTTCAACATGATTTCGGGCACTTCAATGTCTTGCCCGCACCTACAGGGGCCGATTTAAGAGGTGGCCATATATGCCATGGACCACCCTAAATAATAAAAAAAAGTTTGCTTTAGTGGTAAAGATGCCCAAATATTTCGGAAAGGTCATGAGTTTGACTTACTGTATGATGTGAAAAAATTTGGTTCATTTTTTTTCCTCAATTTTTTAAGCCCATCTCCCTAAAAATACATTATATTATATATATATATTATTTAGTCCACCCGAAATTCATAATATACAAAAAAAGTCCTAAATTTTTTCTTCTCCTAATTATGCAACCAAAAAAGGTTCAATTGTTTTTGGTTCTTTTTTTTTTTTGCCTAAATTTTTTTGAGACCCTCTTCCCAAAAATACATTATATTATACCCATCGAAGCGGGTAATATTGTCATCCCTACAAATAATACGATAGCATTTTTTTAATAAAAAAATATTTATTGATGGCATTTTTTAGATTTACTGAACTATTTAATTAAATTTATTTACTTATTATATTATATTTTATTATTTATTATTTATAGAGAATATAAAAGTATGAATATGATACGTGAAATAATAACTTAGTATATTAGTTAGTGGAATAGTTCAATAAAACGTATTTGTTTTTGATAAATTGCATGAATTTAGGAATTTAGTTGCACGTGTGATTGTGGTGTCTTCCATATTCTTAGTGGGTAGTTACATATTCAGTTATTGTAAACACTATTTATTAGGGTGAGAAAACCGTAGAAGGGGATATGAATTAATACAGAAACAATTCTTCTCTTTAATCTTCGGATTATCTCTAATTTCTTATCCTATTTTCTTAATTCCTCAAATTCTCGTTCCTAAAATCCGTGGAACATATCAGTGGTATCAGAGCTAGATTTCATGGAAACTCGAAATAAATCTAATGCCGAGTTTCGCAATGAGGTTTTCGATATCCTGGCTCGACACGAGTCAAATTTCGACCAATTACACAACACTCTCCAAATTGTCCTCACTGAGCTTCAAGCTCTAAGGACTTCTTCCAACCAACCTAAATCTCCCGACAATAATGTTAACCCCTTTGCTGTGGGAGAATCTTCACAAACAGGCAAGCAAAATCCAGCCGTAGCTACAACACGCGCATCTCCAACTCTTCTTCAAAGTACAAATCTAGCCGTAGCTACAACACGCGCATCTCCAACTCTTCTTCAAAGTACAAATCTGAAGCTACAATTTCCGAGGTTTACTGGTGATGATCCCATGGGGTGGATATATAAGGCGGAGCAGTATTTTGAATTTCAAAATATTCTAGCAACGCAACAAGTTCAACTCGCTTCCTTTCACCTTGAGGGGATTGCCTTGCAGTGGCACCGGTGGTTAACAAAGTTTCGAGGACCCTTATCGTGGGACGAGTTTTCCAAGGCTGTTTTGAGCCGCTTGGTCCAACCGATTATGAAAATCCTTCTGAAGCTCTCACGCGTCTCAAACAAACTACAACAGTGGTTGTGTATCAGGAGGGCTTCGAAAAATTGTCCGACCAAGTGAACGGTCTTCCGGAAAACTTTTTAATAGGTTGTTTTATTGCAGATCTTTCCGATGAGATTCGCCTTGACGTGAAAATTAAACAGCCGGAATCTCTAGTAGATGCGATAGGCGTTGCAAGACTCGTGGAGGAAAGAAACATGCTGCAACCAAAATTTCCACAACCCATTCGCTCACAAACTACACCGACAAGCTCGAGAGTCACAACCAATTTCACACCGGGAATCTTAGGCCCTCCACCGACCACATCAAACACCAGCCAACAATTGACAATCCCCAGATCTCGCCACCTACCTTCACAAAGTTAACTGGTCAAGAAGCCCGTGAACGGAGACAGAAAGGCCTGTGCTACTATTGCGACGAAAAATTCACACCGAACCATCGTTGTCAACGACCTCAGTTATATATGATCGAGGATGTGCCATTCGAGAATTATGATCCACCAAACAATCAAAACGACCCCTTACACATTTCCAGGTTATATCCTTGAGGACAAGGATATTTCGAGCGGGCGGGAATGATACGTGAAATAATAACTTAGTATATTAGTTAGTGGAATATTTCAATAAAACATATTTGTTTTAGATAAATTGCATGAATTTAGGAATTTAGTTGCACGTGTGATTGTGGTGTCTTCCATATTCTTAGTGGGTAGTTACATATTCAGTTATTGTAAAAACTATTTATTAAGGTGAGAAAACCGTAGAAGGGGATATGAATTAATACAGAAACAATTCTTCTCTTTAATCTTCGGATTATCTCTAATTTCTTATCCTATTTTCTTAATTCCTCAAATTCTCGTTCCTAAAATCCGTGGAACATATCAGAATAGTAAGTGGCTTCTTCCTTTTTGTATGGACAAATTTGCCCTACAAAATATTTTTCACATATAGAATTTTAAGGACAACTGTATCATTTAATAAATGGGTTTTCCTACCGTGAGATATCAAGAACACGACTTATATGAGATACCCCCTTCAGATATCGTCAATTTTAAATTATTAATGAAATTTCAATTTTACCCTCTATATTTTAATACAATTTTAAATCTATATTTATTGTTGAATTAAAATTTATAAAGTCAATTATATCATTATTGGTAAAAATCATTAAACCACCTATCCAAAATTGCATCAACCTGAATTTGAACTTGTGACCATCTGAAAGCATACAAGAATAATTACCATTAAGACACAACAAATAATTGACAATAAACTAACAATACCGAAAGAATTTGTAGTGACAATAATTATTATAAAACTTATATAAATAATGTTAAATAAATTATTAATTCTCATATAATTATTATTATATATTAAAAATATCCTATACTAACAAATCTTTATATAATATAATTTAAAAATTTAAGGAAATGTTGATCAACTCGTGTACATTAAAAATGAATTTCGAAAGAATTTGTAGTTTGAATTGAATCGTAAATTGTAAGATTTAATTAAATCGTAATATTTTAATCAATTAAATCATGTGTTTTCAATTCAAAAACAATATTCAAAGATTTCATCGATTAAGCTCAACTCATTTCAATTCGTATACAATATTCAAATATTTGAATCGATTAAACTCATTTTTTTTACAATAGCGTAATAATCAAACTATGTATATTTAAAGTTTAGTATCTTTTTTAATTTAATTTTATCATAAAAAATAATAAAATTTAATTCGTAAACATCGTAAGATTTAATTGGTTCATGGTTAGATTCAATCTTACGATTTACAATTTGATTCTTACGATTTTACAAATTAAATTATTATTTTTTTGTTAAAAATGAATTAAAAGGATAGTAGACTATAATTATAAATAGTTAACTCAATTAATACGTTATTGTCAGTAGTTGAACTTAATCGATTCAAATTTTTGAATAATATTTACAAATTAAAAGGACTTGCGCTTAATTGATTTAAATCATACGCTTTAATTAATCTTATGGTTTGATTCTTACGTAATTTAGGAATTAATTTTTTATGATAAAATTGAATTAAAATGTATTACACTTTAATTAATAATAGTTAATTTGATTAAGACATTCTTGTCAATAGTTGAGCGCGCTTAATCGATTCAAATATTTGAATAATGTTTAGGAATTGAAAGGACTTGAGCTTAATTGGTTCAAATATTACGCTTTGATAAAATATTACGATTTACGACTAGGTTCTTACATGTGTTAGGAATTAAATTTATTATTTTTTATGACAAAATTGAATTAAAAAGATATTAGACATTACTTATAAATAGTTAAAGGTTGCGGCTATATGCAAGACTAAAACCATTTGTGCAAGACCAAATTAAATTTTTCAATGTATAAATACTATAATACCCTTACTTGTTAAAAAAATAAAAAATTCAAAAACACAAAAAACCCTATCACAAGACCACAAAACCACAAGACCAACTTTCATCTTCTCCATCTTCCAAAAACCACAAGACCTTTCTCCTTCCTCCTCCATAAACCCACAAAACCTAAACATTCAAAATCATCAAAATTCAACAAATCTTACAAAGATGGAAAGTAAGGAGTCAGAAGACATCAAAATAGAAGATTCTACGGTGGAAGAACCCAAGCAGGTATGCATTTATGGGTTTTTTAGCTAAAATATCGTTTTTCCAAAACAAATCCCGCGCAAACGAATTCAACATGTACAGGTCGAATTTTATGGGTAAAAATCGACATTTAGATGTCGATTTTGAGGTATCAAATTCGACATTTGGACATGTCGAATTTGTGCTATAAATTCGACATGTCAATGTCGATTTCTGCTACAAAAATTCGACGCTTAAGTGTCGATTTGTAGCATAATTCTTCGACACCTTGGTGTCGAATTTTACCAGTTTCAAATTTAATTTGTTTTTCCTCTTTTTTTGTAAGGTTAAACAAAATGAGGAATTAGCAATTGACTACTCTAGTGAATTCATCAACCAAGATACATTTGCAACAAGGGATGAATTGCTGAAATGGGTGAGAGAAGTGGGTAGACGTCTCGGAATGGTCTTTACAATCATGTCATCAAATCCTGGACTCAATAGACGTAGAACACCTTATATGGTGCTTGTGTGTGAGCGTGCGGGTGAGTATCGTGGCACTAATGTACCTGGTAAATTTGAAACGGCAAAACGAAAAAGAAGTACGAGGTCAAAAAAATGTAATTGCCTTTATAAATTAAAAGGCACTAAATTGGGCATGGATGATGACAATGTTGGATGGAAGCTCGAATTTGTTTTTGGCGTTCATAATCACCCATGTTTTCCAAATTTGGAGGGCCACGCATATGCGGCAAGATTAACAAGCGAAGAGATGAAAATTGTAGAAGAAATGTCAAATGCGTTGGTGCAACCAAAGGCAATACTTACAACATTGAAGAAGAGGGATGAGACAAATGTAGCTGAAATGAAGACAATTTACAATGCTCGTCATAGGCTTCAAGCGTTAGAGAAAGCCGGTAGATCTCAAATGCAACTTTTGATGACGAAATTGTCCGAACATAATTACCTTGAGGATCATAGATCGAACGAAGATGGTGAAGTCACTGATTTGTTTTGGAGCAACCCTACTTGCTTGGCCTTAGGGCGTAGCTTTCCTTACGTGTTACTTATGGATTGCACGTACAAAACTAACCGATACGGATTCCCATTACTGGAGATGGTGGGCGTTACTTCTACGAACAAAACATTCTCCATTGCCTTTGCATACTTGCAATTTGAGAAGGCAGATAACTACGAATGGGCATTGAGGACCTTGGTGGAGAAGATGGGAGGGAGTCATAGTCCTAATTGTATCATCACTGAACGAGATTTGGCTTTAATTAAAGCTATAGCTCTTGTGTATCTAACCAGTCATCATTTGCTATGTAGGTGGCATGTTAGCAAGAATATTCTTGCTAAATGTCAAAAAATGTTCAAAAAGGAGAAAGAAAAATGGAAGCGGTTTGAGACAAGTTGGGAAAATCTTGTTGAGCAAGAATCGGAGGAGTTGTTTTATGTGGAATGGGATTTAATGAAACGAAACTTCGTTGATTTTCCGAAGGCTCTATCTTACGTAGCTGACTCGTGGTTGGACCCGTACAAACAGAGGAATGTATCGGCATGGACAGACAAATGTATGCACCTCGGAACATAACTTCTAACAGGTAATATTTTTATTATATGACTTGACATACACGTTTTTATTATATAATAACTCATAATATATTTACACATCTTGTAATATATGATAGGGTGGAGTGTGCACATTCAAAGATTAAGAAAAATATGATGAATTCATTGGGGAACTTCGTTACATTGTTCAACCATATTGACAACGTCTTGATGTTGCAACAAATTAAAATCAAGGCTTCCTTTGAGATTAGCAGAAATACATACCAACACGGCTTCAAGATAGGGCTTTACAGTGAACTTTTAGGTTTTGTGTCGATGCACGCCCTTGAGTTGATCAAAATTGAGGTGGACAAATCACGTGAGTTGTTCGCTCAAGTTGAAGTGCCTTGCAGTTGCAATCTCCAAACAACTCGGGGATTACCGTGTGCACATGACATCCATGAGATTAATATGAAGTGCATTCCCATTCCACTTCAATGCATCGACAGACATTGGAAACACTTGAGTATGGAGCCACGTGAAGGTGCAAACGAAGAAGAGTATGTGGATGATACTGATGATTTAGCATCATTTCATAAAGTATTTTTGACGAAGAATTCAATAGAAAGACGTCAAATGCTTCGTCAGATGCGAGAAGTTTATAGCCCCGGGACAACTTCTCTTAAGGAACCAAAAGAAAAGGTTATTACTAGAGGTCGTCCGGGAAAGAAAGTCATTCGGGATAAATCAACTCGCCGATCAAAATCCGAATTTGAATATATTGATGACTTGAATTATGGTTCTTCTCCACAGGTAAATTTTTGTAAGACTAATTGCGCTTACAATTTGATTGATATTACGTTCACTTGGTTGGCATCACGATCAAACTGTAGGTTTTGACTCCAACACCAGGCACTGCGAAGTCTACAACAAAAAAAACAACAAAAAAGTAAGCTACACCCTCCGTCACGAGAAAGGTACGGACAACATTTGTGATTTCATCTAAAATTATGAAACAGCTAAATTTCGATAGTTAAGTGCCTGGTACTAACACCTAATAATATAAGTTATTGAAGGTCCATGTGTAATAATAAGTAATAACATCATAAAATTTTGATATCCAGTTTTAATTTATAAAAATAATTCACAAGTTAACTATTCTTTTTCAAGACTGATTGTTTCTAATTATTATTGGAGGTGCGGGGAATCAAACCCCGTGCCTCTCGCATGCGAAGCGAACGCTCTACCATATGAGCTACACCCCCATTGTTGAAAAGGAAATACTGGGACAAATAATTATAGTAAACATATATAAATAAATTGGTTAAATAAAAACTTAGAAAACTGACAAACATCGGATTTATTATAGTTCCTATTTTCCTAACATTCTTATAGGTTTTATCAATTGATTAACTTTTAATTAAGAACGGCATGTTGTTCAGTAGATTCATATTCATAATTTTATTTTCGTTTGAGATGATAATATGATTTCGAATTAATAAAAGTGACACAATATATAATAATAATAATAATAATAATAATAATAATAATAATAATAATAATAATAATAATAATAATAATAATTATTATTATTATAATAATTATAATAATAATAATTATAATAATAATAATAATAATTATAATTATTATAATTATAATTATTATAATTACTGTGAATTTGGTAAGTACCCGTTTACACCGTCACAAAATCGAGTGCTGTAGAAAAGAGGGATCCCACATACCACACACGCAGTAAAAAGAAATGTTGGTAGAGGTTGTGTTTATAGACATCGCGCTCACCTTCTCCACGTATTTCGGTTTATGTTTTGAGGATATTGTTTTAGAAAAAATGAACGGAGCACAAATGTAATTATTTGTGTACTTCCGACGGGGAGCACAAAGTTAATTTTCGGACCTTGGATTTCTAACCCGCAATGAAAGAAGCCGAAATTCTAACACGAACCAAGCCTTGGTAAAGGAAACCAAATTTTTTTTTAGGGAATGGCTGAAATAAAAATGATAGCGTTCTTGCGGCAAGAAATCAATTAGACTGAATATTATCAAGAATGCTCGCCAGGAGAAACTGTTGCAGAATTGGAAAGTTAAAAACACAACTCGTGAGCACTTTAAAACCCGAAACTATATATATATATATATATATATATATATATATATATATATATATATATATATATATATATATATATATATATATATAT